TATCAGCTGTTTCTCTTTTCAGTCAAATATAATAGTCAGCAATAATTTTAGCACCGTTCAAAAAGGAAAAAATTGCTTTTAAATAAAATAATTTTCTAAACTATCTTTAACAGAAGTTTCTTCTGTTTATTTTTACGAAAGCCAACCTCCGCCTTGATAAAATTGATCATCGCTTAGAATAATTTTGGTGGAAAAGAAGTAGGTTTGAGAAGCACTATCCTGAAATTTGAAGTGCACTGATCAGCGTCCTAAACTTATTTCCTCTATTATAAGCAATTTAAAAACTTCTAGCAGAAGAAAATCATTAAATTGTTATTCATATTTTTCAAAAATTTAATAATCAAAATAAAACTGGTGAAGAAGACAACAGAAGAAGTCATTTTTGTTGATCATTTTTGCTGAAATATAACAGTAGTTTTGTTTTGAAAAAAGTTTTATATTATATACTGTCGTCAATTATTTATTGTCATTTTTATTTTTATTGCTTTACCCTTTTTGGGCGTTTTTTTATTGTTGCTTCTTCTTTTGTTTTCTAACATTTTATTGAATTGATGAATTATACTGCTAATTTTGTCTTATGTGAGCATAAATAGTATATCTGAACAGTGTTGTTTTATAAGCTGAACTTCAGAAACTGTCATCTGCTATTGCAATTAGTGGAATTTTTTTGGTGGAGGAGAAGGAGAAGGAGGCTAATTATGGTGTATCGGTGCGTTGTTTACAAAACAGTGGTGTCCCAATTGTTTCATATAAATTTTTTTTTGTACATATCCCAAAAATTTTAGAACACTAAAGCAGAAGAAAAAAAAAAGATTTTTGGTAAGCGTTGTTTAGACGTTAAAAAAAACATCAGTTCTTATTGTGCATCTGACGCATCTGACTGTCATTTTGTTCTGCTTTTTTGAAGCCAAAAAAGAAAAAAATTACTTTTCATGGGGCGTGGCTGAGGCCAGAAAAATGTCTGATATATAAGGAGTGTCATCTGTAAGGACAAAATCAGATTTTGGCTTATATCGTTCCATCAAGCCAGTAATCAACAAACGCTTCAGAACCACTGCTTCTGATGGCTTGCCGGCTTTCATCATTTGTTGTTCTGGTCAGTTTTTGTTGTTGCTTTTTTTTTCTTGGTTTCATTTTTTTAACCGTCTCGCTGTAAAATAGTAAGAGAACAGAAGCATTCATAAACAATTATTAACTATCATTTTTAGTTTTTCCAGCTTTTTTTAATATACAGTGAAAATTTTTGGTTTTTTGGTTTTTTTTTCGCTGTTATACTTTACAGTTAACATTTCTTTTGCTATCACCAATGTCTAATTGTTGCTTATTTGATTAATACCTTTTTCTAAATAATTTTCTTCTTTAACAGCTTTTTGTTTTATAGTACGATACAATAAAGCAAAACTGATTCTCTTTGAAAACAAAATAATTAGCTCCTGTTTCACAATATCTACCAAAAAAAAGTGTTAGATTTAATTTTTCTTTTGTAAAATTTGTGAATTTTATGTAGACATTAAGATAATTGGAGAAATTTAAGTTTGAAACTTGCTAAGATTACCAAATCTTTCATTTTGTACTGTACACTTTTCTAGGTTTCTTTGGCCGTCTGTTGTGGAGCTAAAGGAAAAAAACATGGCTTGGAATGGTGCGGTTATTGGGAACTGATCGGAAAATTAGACGAACATCCAGAATGCACCTCAACAGTATCAACAACCACAGAAGAGCCTACAACTACAGCTATTGAGTATCCAAAAACATGTTCAATGCAAGTTTTTTTCTGTTCGCGATTCAGAAAATTGACTGCTGAAATAAGTGATCACAGCTTTCTGAATAATAACTCTGATAAAAACTTTGGTCTTCTGAACTGATCCATTTTTGCAGGAATGCTGCTTTGGTACAGTGCACAGCGGATCCGTTACGGTGTCCATTAAGTGCCCAAATATGTGTTCAGTCTAACGGTGAAAAATGCTGTCAAGCGGTAACTAAAGGTTAGTATACTTCTTTAGTTCTATATTGGTCATTTGTTACTCTATTAGTTCAGTTTTTTTTGCTTACTTTATAATTGTTCTATTTGGATCATTCATGCTTTATGCCATGTATCATCCACTGTTTCAACCAGAGACAATTACTGATACTTACTCATTTATTCCATTCCCTTTTTTGTTTTACATTTTACGTTTTAGCCAAATATCAAATTCATTTTATGCATTACTAGCTTACTGTTATTGTTGCTGTTATTATTTTTGCTTCGTATAAAGTGTTAATATGCGAAAATAAAAGAAAAGATGAAAGAAGACAGAGAAAAAACTTTTTATTTGGCTTAATGGGCAACAGAATTTGTAGTTGTTGTCAAAAATTTTATTGTTTGTAATGTCATATACTCGGCTTACAGCAACAATAATAATAATACTCGTTGTTTAGTCTTGTTAATTTCTTTTTGTGCTATTATTTATTTTTTCATTACTTTTCTTCTTCTTAAATTGTTTTTGGTTTTATAACCGTTTTTCGCTACTTTTTTTTTCAGGCATTCCTGTATCAGATATTAACGCCAAATCTGGTAGTTGTCCACAGCCGTTGGGTATAGCCACATCACAGGACACCACTGTTGGTTGTTGGCTGGACAGCGGTTGTCCGGGTATCCAAAAATGCTGCGTTGAGCCTAATCCAATAACCAATTCGGCTACCAGAATCTGCAGAGATCCGATTGGAATCAGCAGTAAGAATTCAACACCTTCTAAGCCTGAACAACACTGAAGACAAAAAAAAGATTAATCAATCAGTTATTCTGTAAATCTCTCATTTAATAACAAATAATAATAATAGTATTAATAATATAGCAGTAATTATGCAGCTTTATAAGAGACCAAAAGAAAAATTTTTGTTGTAAGAAAGCCATAAGTTAGAATTATTCTCTTGTTTTTCTTCATTTACTTCTTTTTTTTTGCTTAAACGTTTTTTTCCTCTTCCTGCTACCTCCCGTTTTCAATGCTATCAGTGTTGTTTTATTAACTTTGATGAGATGGAAAGGCAGAGATGGAAGTATTAAGAGGAACAGCGGGAGAGTGGAATTTGTCTTCACTTTAGTTTTGATGACCAATTTAATTTTCTTCGCATCTCTGTTATTTCAGATATATATTTGCCCTCTGCTGACAGCAGTTCCAAAAAACTAATAAATAAAATAAGAATTCCAAATTACTTTTTCCTTCAAAAGCATAATAACGAAGATGATCTTTTTCAGAACAATTTTGATTCCTTTCTCGGGAGGAGAGGAAAAAAACGGTTATTTTCTTTTTTTTTTTGTTGTTTAATGTCTCAAAGAGAACAAATAGTAGTTTAAAAGTTGATGGTTAAGGTTGTATGTAAATAAAGTTTGGAAAAAAAAGAAAAAAAAAGCATTTTTTTCTCTTGCTTAAGTCGTTGATGTATGTTTTTCCTGAGTCTTTTTTTCTGAACCTTTTATTTTCAACCTTCCCTGTATAGTTTTTAGTCACCTGATAATAATTTAATCTTTTCCCTCATCTCACAACTTTGTTTTTTTCTTCATTCTGCGAGGATAAAGTTTTTTGAGGAAAAATTTGATTTCAACAACGCAGGTCTGAGAATCTCAAAAAGTTCATGAAAGTTTTTGAGGTGAAAAAAGTGATGTGAGCAAACGAAAAAGGAAGTACAGATAATTAAAAATATCTTACTTATTTACCCATTTGTTCCATTTATTCATTGGATGTCACAACCATACCAATAATGAGAACCAGCAAGATCTAAATTCAAGTCGACAGCTACAACACGTTGTTGATGATGATGATGATGATGATGATGATGCATAGCACATATGGGTGTAGGTTGAAGCAAAACAATTTACTAATCTCTGTATCCATCAAAAATCTTTCAGTGAAAATGAAGGTAAAACAGAATGAAACGGAGAAAACAGTCTATTAGTTGGCCAAATTTTCAACTATCACTGCTTTAAGTCTGTACAGACACAGATTCAAACATTATACTTTTGAATCTGTGTTTTTCTTGTGTACCGTATTTGTGAATGTGCATGCCTAATACTAGTAACATGATGGCAAAGTATTTGAAAGAAAGGAAAGGAAATCAGATTTATTTTAGCAGCTAAGTACAGATAATAAATAATGACAATTTTTCAGCTTTTACAAGCAACTTATTTTATTTGTTTAAAATAGATAAAGTAATTTAGACCAACAACCTGGTTAAAATTGACAGCTGTTAGAAATAGTTCCATTTTTTTTCCTTTAGTATGCATTTCGCCAACTGATTATAAGAAAAAAAAATTCAGTTTTTTAAAGATTGCCTACTTTTTGATGTTAGTTAAACGATTGTTGCTTTTTTTTTTCTTTGTCAAAAACAGCTTTTCAAAACATTTGTTGTTTGTTCAATCGAAAACGAAACATACTGTCATCTGTCAAGAAAGAAAATTTTAGAAAAAATAAACAAATAATTGCAAAAAATTCTCATAACTAATAAGAACAGAAAAGAAAAAAAATTGTTACAATTGACCACTGTATACGAAGCTTTTTTTATTGCAAATTTTTTATTCTTTCAGTTTTTTTCATTTTTTTTTCAGTAATAACATCTGCTTGGTTTTATGTTCGTTGCAACTCATCCAACGACATCTTTAACAACGCCTTGATGCTCTCCTAAAATAACCAGTTCACGGCCTTTGTTACGCTACCTTCTTTTTTTTTCCATATCTTTGATCCTTAGTGCAATTGTGTGTGTGTGTGCAATTCGTTGACACATTGGTATTCCACTGTACAAGAACAAGTGACCGAATGTCAAACGTCGTTTTTGTACAGTTGTTCTATGCAAGCTGAACGAAAAGTGTTTCAGTGATGAAAGAGAGAGAGGGGGCAAAAAAAAAAAAGGCAAAAGAAAAAGTAGATTCTGATTAAACGACAACCCTATAGAACTATCATAATTCTGGACATCCCGATAGTAGTTGTCGACAAAAAATTTCAGGTACGTCTGTCTGTAATCTTCCATTAGCTGTTGGATCCTGCACAGCACCATCAATTCGATATTACTATGATTCATCAACTGGTGAATGCAAATCATTTCAGTATTCCGGCTGCGGTGGTAATGCTAACAATTTTCAGTCATATTCCAGTTGCCAATCCACTTGTTCATCATCAGGTACTACTGTCTAGCACAACCCATAAATGATCACTAGCTAAAAATGCAGCTTTATTCACCTAACTCTTCTCATTAACACTCTTCTCGCAGTTCTATAACTCCAACAGTTTTGTTGGCACTGATCGGATACGGTTAACAACGGTTAATTGCGGCATCAATTTTCAGGTATAACCGGAACTCCGTTATGTCCGTCGGATGCAAATGCTGGTCTAAATTGCCTGTATGCACATGCCGATGCCTGTAATACGGATTCAGATTGTCTGGGACGGGATAACACGGTTCAGCCATCATGTTGCCTAACCGCATGCGGTTACAAGATTTGTTATCAATACTAAAAATAATTAATTGCTTTGTCAAATCTTATGGCCAAAAAAAGAAGTTTTTTGTACAAATAGAAAAAAAGATGAAAAAATAAAGTAAGAAGAGACAGTATTTGTAGAGCAATCCTTTTTTTCAAACATCTTACTGTCGATGATTTTCTGTTACACATTTTCTTTTTCACTGAGAGTTTTCAAATATTTGTTTTTAAATAATTTTTTTGCAAAATTTAGGCATATTACGAAAGCAGCACTAAAAGGCAAATAAGCTGTTTTATTGGGGGTGATTACAAGTTTGTTATACAATTTCTTAACTTTTTTTTTTTTGAAGATAATGTTTGATGAACACTGTTTTTTGTTAATATATATTCAACTTATTAATAATCATTTCGTTTGCTATATTTTTTGTCATCTGTTGCTGTAAAACTACTGCCAAATGTTTTTTAAAACCGCAACTAAAAGAGAAGTTTGTTTCAAAAAGAAAAATTTTGCACTTTTTTTTTAATCAATCTTTTTTTTTTTAAAAAATTAAATTTTACCAGCATTTTTTCTTCTTTTCATCAAACCGATGTTAGGAACAAATAGCAGTTTAGGGTGTGCTGTTGTTTTGTCACCCTATATCCAACTAACTGTTAGAATTAACTTGTTTAGTTTGATACCGAACTCAAGTTGTCTCACTCTTCTTTTTTTTATGTTTACTATTTGTTCGTTTCACCACACAAAGTAATGCAGGTAAAACAAAAAAAAAAAAAAAACGTTGAATGAATAGTAAACTAAATTATTTTCTTGTTTTGTTGCATAAATATATTCTAAGATTAAACAGTAGCGAAAAGCCGCATAATATTTGAATGGTCATCGGAGAAGTAGAAAAAAAATTGAATTGGAAAAACTATTTCATTTAGCGAACTGTACTGTTCAATTACTTTCAGGTAAGATTTTTTTGCAGCAATTATTTAAGTTAAATACTTTATCAGTCTTGCGCTTAAACTTATTGCCCACTTTTCTTCTTTCCTCAAACACTGATCAGGAGTGTTCAACACAAATTGATTTTGAAATCTTTTTTTGCTAAATAAATTTGCATATTATTTTGTTTTTTTAAATTCTTCTATTTAGCATACAAATTTGTCAATAAGGCATTTATCAATCAATGTTGGCGATGACAGATCAACAGGTGATCATCCAGCTTTGTTGTTTCATTGTAGTTTGCCTTTTAAGAAACTTGAACACTTGTTGATACGACCTCTTCGCTCACTTTAGAGCATTAAGACAACTCTGTAACAACAAAAATTGTACGCTAGTGCTTTCTTCATGTAATACCATACTGCACTTGCAATAAGTAACAAGTACGATAAACCAAAAGACCAGATTTTGTGAATATTAATACCTTATTCGTAAAGAAAAAAAAAA